CACATCGCGTTGGCATTGACTCGACTTCAGAGGTGGTCGACATCTGTTTGTTGTTGAGATAAGCAACAGAAATGTACCTGAGTTGTCTCCGTCTCCGCTTATACACGTGCAATTACAAACAAAAATATAACGACCGCGTGGTGTAAACATAGGAAATGTACCACTAAATTCATTCAGAGAACCTATTACGAGTTTGGTACAGACATAAATGTATTGTCAGGTTAGCTAGTCATTTCGGACGTGGGAATATTGAATGCGTGACAACGAACGTGTAAACAGCAAGAACTTTGTACATTCATATGCCGACCATTACCGCTATAATAACGTTTAGAGAAGTCTGCATCGTTGCCAAACAGCTGGATTAAATGCCGCTCGCCGCAAATAGCGGGCGCATGTATAATTAAACCCAGCAACAATAGAATAACGAGTCGAAGCAGTCAAGTATGCCGTGGGGCTGGGCGTGTAACCTCTCAGCGAGTGGTACTAGCGACCATAACACTATAGAGTTTTTTGTAGATTTCAGATAAACAAGCGGGGGCCTTGGAAACAGAACGTTGCTGCTGCGCCTAAAAAAAGAAAAGATATAAATTTATGTCGAGGTATACTCTTGTGTATATATATGTATCTTAGAAAATCCCCGCGTGCGGTCAGTAAGTCTAAAAGTACAAACAAATTTATTCAATACAGAGCTTTGTTAAACTATTTTCAAAGCAAATTTAACAACCCTTTTTTTTTCCCTCTTTTTGATACCAGTTTGCTTCAGTGAGTACGAGATATTATAGTCAATTTTCATCGTATCGCATTTGATAAGGAATAGCGTATGCCGGCGCACAGTTGACCCTTACGGTAAAAATGCAGCCAGCTGACCTAAGGATTGCAGTTATATTGTTACTGAATAAGACGAACCAGAATATCCTAAGACGAGAGAGAGAGAGAGAGAGAGAGAGAGAGAGAGAGAGCAACCGGGCAAGCAATTTGTCGACTTCCTGAAGGAAACTACGTGGAAAATGACGGTGCTATTTGTATTCACTGGCCACTTCATTCTTTCTTGAACGGCAAATGTTGATTATTTAGACTATATAGTATTTGCAGAACGATAAGTATTTAGAAAGCTGCTATTATTCAGTTCTATGGACGGCCAACGGTCGATTTTCTTCTAATCGTCGTTTATTTGGGAGGACACATGGCTCCTTTTTCCGCGAAAATCATCAACTGGAATTGATTTGCTGATAAAGGCCATGTTGTGATTTTCTAACTTCACGATAATGACATGGCAAAATATTTAATCATAATTTAGACCTTCATTCACGATTCGATTTCACAAATACATTCAATGTATTATAAATAATCTAAATACACGAGGCAACACGATATATTTTAGTTCTGTCATTTTTGTTTACATAACAGTAACATGTACTATCGTTAGGTACAGATACGAAATATTCTAGTGCATTGATATACCTTGGACCGAATTAATTGTACATAACCTGAATATCACTATTACTATTATGTGAAATCATTCTCATTTATATACATGCATTTATAGGACGGTTCGTTCAGATTTACAAATGTTCTAAGCTATAATTCATGAGAAGATAGGTAAATATTTACTCTTGTTCATTTAGTTAGACACCTAGATATTAGCTCACGTACTAAAACGGCCCTTCTGACTATCATCGCGTTATTATTACGCTTCCGAAAAGCCGATCCATTGAAGCCAGGAGCTAGATGGTCATGATTTTCATTTTTCATCCCAGGTGCGGCATCTTTAAAGATCCGTCCTTAGGACGAGCTTTCTGTAGAGTCGTCTGTCACTCAACATGCTAAATATAAAATCAAAAGGCCAGCGATATATAGGCGCATATTTAAGACTATATTAAAGTGGGTCATAATTATAAACATTTTCATATGACAGAGAGGTGTGCGTGTCTATCGTTGCAATTAGCGTATTTATTGCCGACATAATGGCCCTATTACAATACGGTACAATCAGCGGAAAATGTCAATGTCAACTACCAAAATGCTTGTGTACGTTTAGCCGAAGACGCTTGCAAATTACGATTGATCAATACTAGCACGGAACAACATCTTACCATGATAATTCACCATTAACCGGTGTAGCACTGGTATTCCTCTTACGAAAGACCTTAGGAAAGGGAACGTATTTGAATTTGTAAACAAATTTCAGCGATGCCCGCTAGCAGACCGCAAAGCCTTATTACGTTTTAGATTTCCAATTTAAAGTAAAAAAATACAATTTGACAAATTATTAGAATAGTTAGTACAATAAATAAATGTAATGCCATTTAATCAAAAACAAAACTAGATTCGTTTTAATTTTACCTGTAGTTCTTATTCAGGTTTCTTTATTTATGTAAAATGTCTAGCCATCTGAATAGGATCCTGTAAGACAGGATCTTTTTCTTCCATCGACCTTTCATGGAATAAGGATTTAAGATAATTTTGTAGCCTTCACGATATGTGTAGGGAAATCTGGTGTTTTCGTGTATTCACGTAAAGCTGTGTTTTTGTTAACATACGGGGTGTTCCGAAGTTCCTATATTTATACTTGAATAGATGATTGAGCAAAGAATAAATAGGGCATACATCTAATGCGTTGATGTGAACCGGGGCATTGTCATAAACTTGGCTTCAAACAACTGCCACTAAAGCTCATTTATTCTTTGAATAGCAACTATTTCGTATTTTATGTAAAATCGACAAGAATTGGCAGTTAGTTATAGGGTAAACAGAAATGTAATAATTAAAATGCTTTTTTTAATTAATTTTATATTAGCTATGCTTTTGGACCGAAAGAGCAGGTAATTGATAGCCAGCGTTTCGCTGTTTCATTCCTTATTCTAACTATTCACTTATCATTTTAACGATTTTATTTTTTATTTTAATGATTTTAAACGGCAAAAAAGGTTTTGAGGCTAGCAGTGATGCCTGTGCAGATTTCCGAATAACATTACGGGTACATATGCGATTCGTATATGTAACGAGGCTGATCTAAATTCCAAGCAAATGAAAACACCCCTAGTGCAGTATTTCGTGTTAGTTACAATTAGTATATTGCTTTCTTAAACGAATGCGGAACCCTACTTTTGACATACTATGCTACATTTGAAGTGCTCCATCGGGTTTGCCAAACGTCTATGTATTTCGGACTGAGCGTTTACGGCACGATTTTTTCAGCTTTCAACCTCTGTCAGTTTAGTGCTTGATAATTACGTCAGGCCGTTTGTTTCAAGCGTTTAATCCGATAATCACACCCTTATGTCGTAATGTTTGTAATAAACCGATTCACTGGACGCGTATTTACGTTGTTCTACACTACTAGGCTGTTATAAGAGGACTCAGTAGACTTTGGCATTGGATCTTTGAGCTATTTGGGTTAGAATAACGACCTTGTCATACGTGTTGGAGGCACGCTACTTTTTTTTTTGTGCAACGCTCTGAGCACTTCTGAACAACCATATACCTGGCACTTGTATTTCCATATGTAATTTCTCTAGCTATGATTTCCTGTAGTAAGAAATACGCTTGCCCAGTAGTTGCGTTTTTTTAAGGTATAAAAAGCTCTGTAATCACAAAGACTTAGATCGGGTGACTAAGCGGATTAAAATTATCCAGGAAGGATAAAAAAATCCAAAAAGTAGATGGCGATAAGGTGTGGCACTGTCTTCAAGTAACCAGTTTACGTAAATGCGATTGCTGCGGCAACGCTCCATGGGTCTCTTTAGTAGTCCGGTATAGCAGCCTGATTTTTCATTTCTGGCTAGCATCTTATAATGGTAGGTGCTCCTAATATGCACTAGTACCAACCTCCGTTCGAAGTTACTCGACAGTACTATCAAGCTCGATTTCTTTCTAGGGCAACGTTACTTGCTTGCTTGGCTTCGTCTCGGCTGGCCGTAAAGATTGAACCATACTTCATCTATCGCGACTATACGTTCCAGGCTGGCTTTTTGTTGATCCGCAAACTTCGCGTGGAATATACCTCATGCATTTCAAGCTAGTCTGGAGTTAAATGAGAGGATACCACTGTTATACTTAATTTTCATTTTTTTTCCCACTATACGTGAATTGCTAATTTTGGCTGATAGAGCCCTCAGATATGACACTCTGCTTTCATGAAAAGCTTCTTCAATAATGGCAACGCTTTCTTGCCCTTTGGCTCTCGACTCCAATTACTTATACACTGGTTTAGATTTCCGCTTTTAAAGTACTGCGCTTTTTTCCACTTAAAGCCTAGATCAATCATCGATGAATTTCCACTGTGAGCGTTGACTTTCGGAACTAAAGGATATTGAAGAACTAGAAGATTGAATGAAGTATTCGCCAGCCAAATTTCATAGCTCGGAAGTTTCATTTCGATTCGAGCAGATTTCAAGTTCGGAAGCTATTGGAAATCAAACTCCGCTTCTATATTACACCGGTTTTGACATATTGATAAATAATGACTGTATATATTTGGCCACAAATGAATAGCCTTATGTCACATTACCTGCTACCTTTATAACAAAAACTCATTTGGTTGGATATTATACAGTTCAGATAATATTCACTTATTGGTAAGTGACTTATATTATTTATAGCTATAATGGCCAACTCATATAAAAACTTGGCTGTTGTTACTTCACCACAGCCTTTCTATTCCATTCGTCGTTTATTAGTTGCTCAAAATTCTCGGATAACAAATGCAGAGTCGACGATGTCAACAGAGAGAAATACCCCCTAATATCAGGATCTGCTTTGTTGTTTAACATAGGCTCGTGGATCAGCTACATCCAGCGTTTCGTTCTACTCTAACGTCTTATGGTTGCATGTTCATGAAGTTTAACAAATACTCTACGAAATAATTGCCATTGAAGGCGTCTTGTACTTCATCTCTTAAAAGAATCAATAATATGACAGAGAGTTTTTCATTTTTTAAGAATAGCATCTTTCGATTTTTTTGTCACCTTTGTATTAGTATGCAGTGTTAACGTTTTTTCAACAAGGTGTGTATTACTTCCGTGATAACGAAATTCATTTAATAGCCACTCGATTGATTCTACGATGAAGGACGGCAGCCAAAAGTCAAAAAAACATATGGGGAAAAAAAAACTAAGTGAGATGGAAAGTCAAAACAAAGCTACGCCTGAGGGATACAAACAAAAGCAACAAATAACATCGAATAAGGTCGCTAGGGGAACACGACATGACGGAAGCGGAAAAAACGGCAACTCTTCTGTCGAATCTTCGTTGCGATTTTCTTATAGAAAATCGGAAGAGCCAATACAAATAGTAAAACAAGGTAAAGCAGGTGAGCCCACTGTGCGTGTAAGGCGAACCTCGAGCGTCATAGCTGCGGTACGTCAAAGAAAAGGCACGAGCTCCTCTGACAAACTTAAAAAGCATTCAGGGAAAGGACATATAGAGACAGCGAAAACTAATGAGGACGAGATATTCAACGATTTTTTGAAACGGGGTATCAGGGACATAGTCGGTCTGGTGTCCACCCGGTGGTATTGGCATGACAAAATGAAGGTAACGTATGGTTTTTTCATCTATAATAATAACAAAAATATTTCGATGACGTGTATGCCGGTTTCATGTTTTAACTGTTCTGTAAAAGGTAAAGTACGAGCTTCGTAAAATGGTTGGTTTCGTTCGCCGTGATTAGAAGTTTTCGTGATTTGACAAGAATATAGAGAAATGGTTCAGGAACTCTCAGCAAATGTGACAATGTTTGAAAAAAAGATTCTAGAGTGATGGGGTCAGTTCAGAGATGCATCAGTGGAATATTTCTAATTACTCACAGGCGCAAATTTCAAACTAATTTAATTACCGCGAGAAGCAGTTGTGGTCGCGTTTCGAGTCTCTTATAGATTTTAGAGAGGTCTCACCTACCGATATGCAGGGTAGCAGGATGTTCTGCCACTACCAGCACTAGCTGTAAGCAATTGGATTAAGCCCTATAGACAAATGTGTCCTTAATAGCGTAATGCCTTTTTTTTTCTGTTATAGGTTGCTGGAATCCGTACACTGTTCGACCTTTTCGGGTACAAGAAGCAATTCAAAGAACTTGATAAAGCTACTGGGGATGCAGTTATTAAATGTGTTATGGAACAAAAGGAAGCAGGGATAAGTTCTTTAGGTTGGATCTTCAACAATATACTTTACCAGCTCGAAGTTATTTTTTTTCAGCTCAATGTAGGATCTCAACAAGTCGAAAGGGCCTTTGGGTATACACTCCAGATTACATGCAAAAATGGGGCCGTATTCGAGTTCGATTATGAACGCCCGAGAAAAGTTCTTGTGGACTATCATCTTGGTTTCCCGACCAGAATCGTATTACGTGGCCCCTCAGCGGAGCCTGGACAAGCCCAGAAGTGCATCATCCTTAACGAATGTGAGCGTAAGGGGGAATACAGTGATTACGTAGTCATCTACAAGAGTGGCAATACGCGGGCGTACCTAAGCATCAACTGGATGGGTCCCGGTTTAAACTACTAAACTTTTTTAAACGTGAGTGCTTCCCTCCAAATCATGTATTTAACCCAGAAAACGCTAATTCGAACACTTTTACGGAAAAACGCGCCCACGTCTTTATTCGTACTACACGAGCATATATAAGAGCAGTAGACGCGTTGTTAATTGGTGCCTAATTATATTTTATTTCGAAACAATTTTTTTTGTCCAAATAGATTATGAAATATCGTTCTATGTTGAATCGATGTGACATTTTTGTGGTGTCTCTGTACCTTCACAAGTTTGACGCCGACAAGCTACGATGCTAAATTACTAAATCTTATCCGCCTGGAGCTGAGACTGCCTGAGACTGAATAAAGCCAGAAACGAGTTTTCGACAGTCGTAGCCTATCCATCATGTTCTTCTGCAGCTTTCGCTGCAGCCATCTGCACCGTAACCTATAGTAAAAGAAACAATGAGCAAACAAATATATAGTTTGCTACGCTAGCAACGCCTATAAGAATTTCACCTCGGTACCGCTTTTTATAGATCTATACTTACATTGGCAGCGAGAGATAGCAGCAGGAGGGAAAGTTGTCTTTTGGTTGGAGTTGGAGATTTTAGATGGGAAGTGCCTTGTATGCTGGTATACTCTACTACATTGATGGCGGTGTCTGAGCTCCTGCGGAAGTTTTCTGAAACATGTGTGAGTTTCCAATGAGTGATTTATGTTTTACGCTTGCGCGAAGTTTTCAGATACATATGCTGAAATCATATTAAAGGCTGCAGCAAACATCGCCGAAGCACGGCGAACGTCCAGTCGCCTATTGCAGTGCAAAAGCCGGCAGAATGGTAGTATAAAAATAACGATAGTTACGATCCACGGAAGGGACGCAACGGTATCACATCTATATTGTCTGTTCGACCTGATGCAATCACTTCAGTGACGGTCGTGATGAATAAACCTAGCTAGCAAAATGAAAGAACTTGAATTTTTGTGTTTCGAACGAATTTTAAAAATACGACGCTATTTCAGTGTTGCTAACTACCATTATTAGTGTCCATTGGTTTGGCGTTCTCTGTTCATAGCAGCGTCAATAAATCAGAATTCGTTCTAGATGTTGCCGAATCTAAGGAATAGGAATATACTATGCACCTAAAAGGCATATCTGTTTCCGTTGTGGTAATTTATGAATAAAAATAACAGGTTGCGTAACGTAGACGGCATCTGAGGGATATAGCATTAGGTAGATTATGATGCATACGCTGTACATTAACGTCGCAGTTACCCCTCCGGTTTTGTGAAAAAAATAGCGTTGCCCCCTGCATCACTTCGTCCTCTCACTGCAGCCTACTAGTGACAATTCCTTTTATCGTTCGTTAATATAATCTTTATATAAAACACTACATATTACAGCTGTTTTTTTTTTTTTTTATTTGTTGTTGCTCTGCTGCCGTTGTCATATTTTTAAGTCTGATTCATGTTGCAGCCAACTTCAGGCTTCGAAGCTGCTGCTGAAGTTCTCCGGAGACGCAGCCGTGCCGATTTTGGTCGCCTATTGTAACTACGTTGATCTCGTCAGCCTATTACCTTGCATTTGTTACCTGAATGATCCCAGGTTACCGTAATAGTTCCCTGGCGCTGTTACTTGATTTCAAAGTTTCCAATGTAAACTCATTATTTCATCGCACATATTCGGTTACCCATTATTTTCACAGCGACCTTATTGAGGTAGCTATAGTAATTACCCTATTACCGAGGGTAATATCTACACCCGTAGACAAGGGTGCATAAGAATAATAGATAAGAACCGAACAAGTTAATCTCCGGATCGGGTCTAACGTAGTATTTGGTTACGTTCTTATATTGTTATATACACAATAAGAAAATGAAACGATAAGAAAGCTGTGCCGTATCGAAGTTAGAACCGAAGAAGTTAGGTTATTATCGTGTATATAATTCGTTCCTCCAATTTTCATTTTGGCAAGCTTTGAACTATCAAATTTCGAACGAGGAATGGAAAAAATATTGAAAGCTATCTTCCTACTGTTCTATTAGTCCTATGCGATCGGGCCTATTTTGTAAAGCTTCAACAATTTCTCCAACTGATGTTGCTAAATGTCGTTTAAAAATTGTGCGACCAATCAGCAAAGTCTCTCAAGGGAGCACTCTGCAATAAATTCAATACACATTCAATTTAGCGATACGTAGTATACAATACTGTATTGCATGTACAGACCGCCATGTAGGTTAGGTCGCCTTGAGGATAAACCGCTATGCAGATATAGTGACAAAATATGGCCATGTATTTAGTAAACGTGTTTCAATATTTGAACTAGCGTGAGGTACGGTGGCATAAATGATTGCCAATTTGGTTGGTCTTTTCCGGTCAAGAGTCCGGCTCGTTTCAGATGAATTCTCAATGACAAATATTGTTGAAACAAATACATCGTTAGCTACGATTATCGCCACTAGCGTACAGATAAACAGGGGTTTGAATTAACGATAGGAAGCTCTATGAAATGTTTACTGTAGGTGACTGTATAATCAGTCTCTGATACTTAGCAAATATTCGTAGTCGGTAGAAGGATATCATATTAATGAGCATAGAAATGTGTGCTTACTACTATGTCTCTTTTCCAGAGACAGCAGCCGCAGGCTACAGCAGCCTACGAAATACTGTGACCTATTTGCCTATGATGCAAGCATCTAATAGACGATGATAGATCGCCACGATTTCTTCGTGCCATACTAATAGTTACTAATACCGGCGTCGTGATTAGCCTTACGTTGCGTTCATAGATTTCTACTTGGACCTTTTTATTGTTGAATCTGAATCTTAAGTTCACTTGCACATCGTATACAACTTTATTTGTTGCTTACTCTACATCTACCGAAATACGTACGCTGCTGGTCTCTAGGCAGGTAATTATTTTTCAAGAAGCACGACGACCAGATAATATATAGTATGATTAAGAAAACGTTTCCTGCAGCCCATTAAATTTCGCGAATCATTTTTTGTACCTTGACACTTTTTCCATCACGGAGGCCCAACACAATATATGAACGCCATCATATCGGAATCGAAAGTAATTACACATGCATCTGTCTTGACAACAATACAGATAAAGCGCACAATTTTCTGAACTGATCTTAGAAAAGACTAAAGCACTTATTTTAAATGAGGTAAAGAACGACATTGAGGCATGCTCTTGTGTTAACGCCAAAATAACTCACGTAATAGTTGTAGGCACCATAAAGCGCTCCGACGCCAGCTAATATTCCGAGTAGCGTAAATAGCGAACCAATACAGCGGCCTGAAGAAGGCTTTTCCTCTTCATGTGGCATTTTGCTGGCGCTATTCAAAACCCTGGAAGCCAAAAAAGGTTTGCACTCTATGGGAAATGTCATTTAAAATGTAGCGCTTTGTGCATATCCACAATCTGAAGTCGCCGTCTCTCTCTCATAGCTTGTAGAAGCTTATAGCTACTACTAGAAAAACGAGTTCTACCGTACTGGGTGATACATGAACACAAGAAAACTATCTTCAGTGTTAGAAAACGTAACTTCATTAACCATGACGAATTTGGTTTCAAGCGAAACCATCTTTATGGTGCACCTTCTATTTTCTGGCAGGCTATTCTTCACTCAATACTGACTGAACCATTTCCATGGAATTATCTCCAGGCTTTTAGAACTACCTCTGCTCTAAGTTCTGAATTAAAAATTCAACAGCTTTTCCAATAAAGCGTCTTCTAGACTACACCTTACGGACTCCAATGACAAATACTCGTGTCTACAAGAAGGTCCATTGGTCCAACATAAGCGAAGAACGTTAAAAATAAGAATGTAAAAGTAAAGAATCAATTATAGTATGTAAAAGTAAAGAATCAATTTATGAACTTACCTAATGTCCTAAAGAACTTTCTGGGAAATATTTCAAGAGTCGTCTAAGCTCTTCTTTACGGGAGCTATGTCCGATCAATTAGGAAACCATGCAAGCAAATATTGGAAATCTGAATAGATGACTTCCATTCAATCGTATGAAATAATAATTTAGCAGCAATCCTTGGGCTGGGACTGTGTCTTGCTGGTAACTCACTGACCAGACAGACGTCACCTAGATTACCTTAGTGGCTAGCGATAATTGGAGAAGTTGTTGTAGTGCGTGTTCCGGTGACTCGGTCCTATTGTTCAGAACTATCACATCCACTCCCATTCGCCGTTGCATTGGCTTTTCGGCTTACAGCTCAACGTCTAGACGCGCGTAAAGTTGTCTAGATTCTGACAAAACCTAGCTGAAACTCTCCTAGATAGGCGTCGTTCTTAATTGAGTGTCACGCTTCTACGATTTCCGCTTGGCCATCGTCCATGGTCAACGGACAGTGTCAAACCGATACGAATATATCGACAATCATTGCTATCTAAGTGGAGAAAAGTGACGTCGGAAGAACGCGGAACGATATCTAGTATATACATTTATTAGCTCACATATGTACAGAAAAAAGGAGCCAAGGCGTCATTACTTTATATAGATAAAGTTTTGATCGAATTTCTTTATAATGATATGTCATTATCATCTTGTTAAGTGTACACACCGTTACAAGCGGTGCTATCGGCACTTTCTAGTCGTATTTTTAGTTGCGGAAGTATACTTCCTTTACTTGCTATACATTTCGAATGTCTATAGCAAGTTTTTTTCATTTGAATACTATGAATAGAATGAAAATTTAATTTACTAGACCACATTTTATATCAGGTTCAGTATTCCGAAAAAGAATATATCAGTTGTTTCCTTGCCTAAACCTAAAACATGGTCTTCTAGCTTTTCAGAAGTTTATGATATTTGTATTTGGCGCCACGTCTCAGATAAGTGGCACACGACACTAAAATAGCATCGGCGATTTACGCTGTATATCATCGGTCTAAGCATTCTGTCTGTCTGTCGGTCTGTAGAAAACTAAGAGTATAGAACCGTAAGGAAGTTTCGTTTCTATCCTCTATGTTCGTTCTCTCGAAACTAAACTCTACTGGCAATAAAAATTCGTAAAATAAATGTGTTCTCATTAAATTTTAGATGCCGCATCATGAAGATCCCTTGACTCTGTGATTGAAAAATTAAACCTCGGAGTTACAGTTCACTTCTGTTTACCATATTTATTGTTTTAAGCCCGTAGGCCTTTGCTGCCAGCACAACCTATCACTCGCGGAAGCTGAAGCTAGCTTTGAGGGACACCCGGCTACAGGGGGTAGTAAAACGCTTCCCGAAAGTATGATTCGTTGTCCAGTGAATCTTGAATTAAAAAGTAAATTCGTAAGTACAAACGCTTTTCGTACGGACTTGCGTATAGCCAGTCCAGAAGCTCAATGCTTCCTCCTCGTATATCACATCGACAAGAATAGAAGCGAAAACACGTATGACTTCTTCTATTGGAGCCAACTCCGATGGTCTGCCGTCCTGCGCTTGGCACAGTCACTTAATGCAAGCCATTTCAAGATGGTAGTTGTTATTGGCTAGAAATAGTTAGGTAATAATTGATGAGATAAGCCATGCTTGGTTTGTCGAGTGCTAAAATCAGTGGTACATTATTGAATCAAAGATAATTCGAGCGATAAATAAATGTTTCATGATTTCAGTATAAAATCTAACATTTTATACTATACGTTACAGTCTAATATTTTATACACTGTATGTTAAAGTGCCACTAATTATCTGTCTGGTTCCTGGTAGATTGAATGCAAGGAAATGCGATTAGCCAATGAATAATGAGATTCGGAGCGTCGAGAACGGGATGTGAAGATTTACTACCCCTGTCTAAAAGTAAGCTACTTTGATAAGACAAAAACCGTTTCTTGCATAGCTCTATTTTACACTATTTTTAAGTAACACTATTTTTAAGTAACCAAGTGGCCCGTAAAATTTAGAATCAATTAAAAGCACTAACGAAAAATGCCAATTTACCATAGAAGTTAGCGAAT